CTTTGTGACAGCTGCTCAAATGGACTAAGACACTGTGCTTCTGGGAGCCTTGTTGTGAAGGCCAATGAGAGAGAGCCCGGCCTTGCCCAAGGTGAAGCTGGTCCTGGAGTACCCGGTCTGCTGGCCGTGAGTGTGTCACACGGGGAACTGTCTCCAGCCTGTGCCTCACCCCTTCTTTGTCTCTGTGATGCCATTTGGCCAGGCTGTAAGTAAAGCCTTCAATCCTGCTTTTGTCTCTAATGTCTCTCCTACAGGCTGGCCCAGAGCATCAGTTCAGGACATCCTCACTGAGGTTCTGTCTTGTCCCTTGCCACCCTCGGGAAACACGGGCAGTGCAGTGCTGCTGCACGCTGCGTAAGGAAGAGCTGGCTGGCGGGAGGTGCAGCTGTGAGAAACCACGCAGCACCTCCAGTGACGGGAAGTGTAGGGGCCGGGCTGGCTGCCAGCACACGCAGTCTCACAGCGCAGGGGACACACACTCCTTCTCCATGGAGTTGCTAATCTGTACACCAGGGAACCACATGCTTATCTCAGAAGCAAAATTTAGTTCTTTTCTAATTCTAAATTACAACAGAAGGCTTTAGGCTACACAAAGTGACTGACTAGAGTACACCATTTTTCTTCAAGTTGAAAATACCTACCATGTAGGTGAGAGAATGACTGAGCCAGGGCTCCAGGGTCAGACAGACCTAAACCCACACTGTGGACATGGTCACCACACACGGTCAGGAGAAGCCAACCTATTGGATCTAACAGGATTTAGTGCTCTGATTTGTGTGAACGAGTTAACATAAAAATCAGAGACAAGAAAAACATCATATCTTAAGTGACAATTTAGGAATTAATTCTCAGATATTCCTGGTAAAAAATCTGCATGCAAACCAGGTTTTACTGCCCTTCTTGGGGAATGAATCTACGTGAGGGTGCTGGTTTCTCTGTTGTCAAGCAGCATGTTTTCCATGTGCAAGATGCAGTGGGAGGGTCATCCAGAGCAAAGGCCTGGAGCCCTGGAAGGCAGCAGAGAGGTCAAGAGCATGGGCCTCACCCACTGGCTAGGGGACCTAAGGCAGGTTACTAAGGCTCTCTGGCCTCAGTTTCCACATGTATAAAATAAGGGTAACAATCATGCCTACCTCACAGGGTTACTGTGCGGAGCGAATGCATTACTGCCAGAGCATTTATTATTGTTCTCATTCCTACTATTACAAGACTCTTAGTGCACATGCACAAGAAAGAGTTTAGGAGACATACACACCCAGGAGGGGAATCTGAAGAACAAAGATACAGACTGAAAGATTGGCCCTCCCAGTTTCTCAAATGCCTCAGAGGAAGGGAAGAATTTTAATTCTTATTACAACATCCCAGGACTATGGTAATCAGAGATCCAAGACCAGGCCTGGCCTGTCTGCTATATCAGAAAAGTGATCAAATAGAAGCAACATCTTTTTGCAAAGGAAGTTCACGGCACAGACACTAATATTCATTCACATGAATATCCAACAAGAATAAGTAAAAGATGACTTGAAATTACAAATCTTAGAGAATAGCTAGTCTAATTCATTTTCAGAGCAGGGCAAACGACAGAGAAGAGGGTTCTAGTCCAATGCCATACGCCTGGCTAGTAGAAAGATGAGATGAAAATCATTTATCTTTGGAGTATTGAGCTGGTCATTTGAGTTTCTCGCTAAAGGGAATGAGCATCTAAACCACTCAGCTCCTTAGAGTGCGGACACCTACACTTCAAGAGGAAGCCAGGGGTGGATAGAGTCTTAAAAAAAAAAAAAAGTGCAGCCACGTTATTCCAGTACACCCTGCCATGCTGCAGCTCATTAGGCCCAGCTGAGCTGTTCCCTGCCACATGAAGACCGGAATCCTGTTTGTGTGTTTGCTGACACATTGCAAGTGCCTAGGACAGTGCTTAACACATAATAGGCCCTCAATAAATTATTTGTTGAATGAATGAATGAATTCAACTCTCTGTGGTTTAGTGTTCCACTTAAGACATCAAGATCAGACCATCTGTTTTAAAACCTCCTTGGGCATGAAAAAAACATAGGAAAGAGCTTTAAAAGTAATAGCACACGAGTCGAAAATGCAATTCCTGTTCTTGTTTCCCGAACGCGCCCTCTCTCCCAGTCTCTACCGCAGCTACTGCAAATGTTTCCATTCTCCTGAAACCTCCAACCTCCTGTCTGCTCCCAGCACACAGCCTCTCTTCAGAACCAGGATGTGGCCTCTTTAATTTATACAATGCAGTTCTAGCTAAGGGCCGCAAGGGTGGAGGGCGGGGACAGAAGCCAGACTGTAGTAGCAGACAGAGTGATGTGGACATGAAGAGTGGAGATGGGTCTGCAAGCTGTCTTCACTCAACTCCCTCTTCTCCTCAATTCCCACTCTGCTCACACTCCCTGGTCCTGGCCTCCACTCCCACAGCCTCAGCCTCAGTCACATCCACACTAGGCTATGACCCCCAAATCTAGTCTCTCATAACTCGCAGGTGAACAGTCCAGATTCAGCTGTCTACCTCTCAGCTCTGCTTCATGACTGAAATGCACCTCAAATTCAACATGCACCCAAACAGACTGTGTAGTCTCCCCTTGCCCCCCAGCCTCCTAAATTTCTCTACAATCCATTCATCTATCTCCATTAGCACTGTCACTACCCTCGTCCAGGCTGCCATCAGCAGGCTGAACAACTGCCACAGCCTCCAAGCTGGTCTCCTCGACCTAATCTTCCCTCCCTCGAACTATCCTCTAAATTGCGCCCAGAGCAATCTCTTAAAAACACAATGAATATGTCACTCTAACTGTGAGAGCAAAGGACAAACTTTGCCTGGCTCCTAGGGTCTCAGATTCCTCTTCTGTGAAATGAGTGCTGACCTCCAGAAGGTCATTGTGAGGACTCACGAGTTAATACATGGAAAGTGACAGAAACCACACCTGAGACGTATAATGATCAAGGAGAAGGAGCTGTGATCCTCAGGCTGGGATAACCTCTCCCTGGCCCTCCTCAGGCGAAGCAGCAGTAACCTTCAACCCTGCCAGGCTCTCTCTCCCTGTGAATCTTTGCACTAGCTCTCATCTCCCTCTTCCTCATCTGGTCAACTCCTGCTCAGCTTTCAGGCCTTGGCCTGCACCTAACAGTCTTTGTAAGACTCATCTCACTTCCTCAGACTAGTGAGGTGGTATTATGAGTCCCCACAGTTCCCTGAATGTCCCCTCCCTGTCAAATTACTTGTGGTAGGCTGAAGAGAGACCCAAAGACATCCAGGTCCTAATTCCTGGAACCTGTGAATGTTACTCTACAGGCCACAGGGGCTTTGCAGATGTGACTAAATTAAGGGTCTTGAGATGAGGAGATTATCCTGGATTATCCAGGCGAGCCCTAAATGTAATCACAATTGTCCTTATAAGAGGGAGACCAAGTGCAATTTGGACACACACAGAAGAAAAGAATACATCAAGACAGAAGCAGAGAGAGACCTGAAGATGTTACACTGCTTGTTTTGAAGATGGAGGAAGGGGCCAGGAGCCAAGGAATACAGCTCCAGAAGCTGGAAAAGGCAAAGAAATGGATGCCCCCCTAGAGCCTCACAGGGAGCATGGCCCTGTTGACTTCTTGACTTCTGTCCAGTGAGACTGCTTGCAGACTTGTGACCTCTAGAACTGTAAGAGAATAAAAGTGTGTTGTTTTAGGCCACCAAGTTTATGGCCAATTTGTTACAGCAGTCATAGGAAACTAATACAGATTTCTCTATCATTCCACTTGGTTACAAGCTCCCTAAGGGTGATAGGCTAAGTCGTTCTTGCTTATCCTTTTATTCCCAGAACCTAGATCACTGACAGGCAAATAGCAAATGCTTAACAAACGTTTTCCAACAGAATAACTAATGTGCCAAGGCTCTGAGATTTCTATTTTCTTAAGGCATGTAAGAATGTAAACTCAAGTCAGCAGAGTTTATTTTGTTTTCTTCTTTACTATAACCTGAACTCATAGAAGGAAACTATTATGGGTTAAAATGCATCCCCCAAAAATATACGCTGAATTCATAACCCTGGTACCTGTAAATGTGGCCTTGCTTGAAAATAGGGTCATTGTACGTACTATTAGTTAAGATGTAGTCACAGTGGAGTAGGGTGGGCCCTAATTCAATCTGACTGGTGTCCTTATAAGAAGAGAAAACACCAAGACAGAGACACACAGAGAAAAAGGTCATGTGATGAGAGGCAGAGACTGAAATGCTGCAGCTGCAAGCCAAGGAGCACCAAGAATTACTGGCAACCATGGGAAGCTAGAGGGGCGAGGGAGGATCCTCTCCTAGAGTTTTCAGAGAGCATGACCTGCTGACACCTTGACTTCAGCCTTCGAGCTTCCAGAACCATGAGACAATAAATTTCTGTTGTTTTAAGCCAATTAGTTTCTGGTACTTTGTTCTGGCAGCCCTCGGACACTAACACAGTACCTGACGTAGAGTTGGCACTCAACAAATATCTGCTGAATGAATGAATAATTGATATCCCAGTGTCTGCATAAATATACAAAGGACAACACGTCTTGGGCCAGATCACCTCAGAAACCATTCTTTCTTCTTGTGTACATAAAGAAGCTGAATTTACCCAAAGTGGTCTGACTTAGAATTTTCCTGTCTATATTGCAAAGATGTAGAGAAATGAAATTTTCAGCAAGTACCTAGGTCTACAAAAACATTTTACAGGAAGTTTTTCATTCTAGACACAAGCACTTTAGAAAGTGAGCAGAGAGGGCTGGGAACCAGCAAAGTGATGCTAGTATACTGGCTCTCCACAATGTGACCCGTTTCAGCATGTCATTCATGTATGTGTAATTATTACTCTTCATTTACCTCTTTCTAGTGAAAGTGACCATGTTAATTGGGAAAGCACCCCAGTAAGAACTCATCTTCTGCACAGAAACCTCCTGTAAGCCCCCGTCTCAGATTTAGCCACAGGCAATCTGTGCGGCATTGGGCACAAAGCACTTACCTAGAGCACTCCTCAAAGACTTCTTTGGAAGGATTCCCCCTCAGTCTTAGTCTGCATTCTTTCACAACATTTGGAGGTATTTCTGGAAAAGGGACTTCTAGCTTCTTAATACAGCACAAACCAAATGCATAACAATTAGTGATTTCATAATTTACCAATGTAAATAGAACCTAATGCTTATTGCAAAGCAATTACAACATAAAGCGTATGAAATAAGTCAAAGTGCTCCCTTCACCCTCCACCCCAGTCTCATTTCCCAGAGTTCCATGTGTTGTCTACCACTTCAGACTTATTTCTACACACATTAAAAGAGAGTGGAAAGCAGGGTCTCTCTCCAAGAGATAGCTGTACACCCATGTTCGCTGCAGCATTATGCAGAATATCCAGAACATGGGAGCAGCCTAAATGTCCATCAGTGGATGAATGGATTACCAAAATGTGGTCCATCCACATGACAGAATACTATTCAGCCTTAAAAAGGAAATTCTGGCACCGCTACAGCATGGGTGAACCTTGAGAACGTTATGCTGAGTGAGATAAACCTGTCACAAAAGGACAAATATTGTACGATTCCACTTATTTGAAGTCCCTAGAGTAGTCGAATTTATAGAGACACAAAGTAGAATGGTGGTTACCACATGCTGGGGGGAGGTGGAAGTGAGGAGTTGTTGTTTAATGGGGACAGAGTTTCAGTTTTGCAAGATGTAAAAAAGTTCAGGAGATGGATAGTAGTGATGGTTGCACATTAATGTGAATATACTACTAAACTGGATACTTAGAAATGGTTAAGATGGTAAATTTTATGTTTTTATCACAATTGAAAATGTAAACTTATACACACACACAAGGAAACCCTCAGAAATACACCCACTTTTTCCTCATACAAATGAGATAAAAATATATGTATAGTTTTATAAGTATGTGCTGACACCTATAGAGCTACCATATTTTCTGTAATGACTACATGGTTTCCCATGCATTATCTGCCCCTCTTAAACATTCTAGTTGCCAGTTTTCTTCACTGTAACCACCACTGCCATGAACATCTTTGTACAAGTGTGTTTTTATAGGATAGGTTCCTAGAAGTAGAATTACCCACTCAAAGGATACACACCTTTTATTTATTTATTTATTTTAATTGTGGTCATAATAGCTTATAACATAGTGAAATTTCAGTTGTACATTATTATTTGTCATACACCACATAAGTATGCCCCTTCACCCTTTTGCCCACCCTCCATCCCCTTTCCCCTGGTAACCACTAATTTGTTCTCTCTGTCTGAAGTTTGTTTATATTCCACATATGAGTGAAATCATATGGTGTTTGTCTTTGTCTGGCTTATTTTGCTTAACATGATGCCCTCAAGCTCGATCCATGTGGTTGTGAATGGGATGATTTCATCTTTTTTTTTTATGGCTGAGTAATATTCCATTGTGTATATATACACCACATCTTCTTTATCCAATCATCAGTTGATGGGTACTTGCGTTGTTTCCATGTCTTGGCTATTGCGAATAGTGCTGCAATGAACATAGGGGTGCATAAGTCCCTTTGGATTGTTGACTTGAAGTTGTTTGGGTAGATACCCAGCAGTGGGATAGCTGGGTCATATGGTATTTCTATTTTTAGTTTTTTGAGAAATCTCCATACTGTTTTCCATAGTGGCTGCACCAGTTTGTATTCCCACCAGCAGTAGATGACGGCTCCCTTTTCTCCACAACCTCTCCAACATTTGCTGTTTTTTGTCTTGGTGATTATAGCCATTCTAATGGGCGTAAGACGATATCTAAGTACAGTTTTTACTGTACAGTTTTTAGTGTACTTTTGATTTGCATTTCCCTCGTGATTAGTGATGTTGAGCATCTTTTCATGTGCCTATTGGTCATCTGTATATCTTCTTTGGAAAAATGTCTGTTCATATCTTTTGCCCACTTTTTATTCAGGCTGTTTGATTTTTTGTAGTTCATTCGAGGATATATGCCTTTTAAATGCTGATATTTATTGCAAAACTGCCCTCCAAAAAGGTTCTACCACTTTCTGTTCTCACTCATATGTCCCTACGTGCCAATTTCCCATTCTCTTAACCCTCATACAAAGGATTCTGGAAAAAGAAAGACATAACAAAACTACTGTCCAGATTTATTGCCCACATCATGTTCAACTGTACATTTAATTTGTCATTAGAAATGAGAAATGCGGGGGCCAGTCTGGTGGCACAGCGGTTAAGTTCACACGTTCCACTTCCAGGCAGCCCGGAGTTTGCTGGTTCGGATCCCGGGTGCAGACATGGCACTGCTTGGCAAAAGCCATGCTGTGGTAGGCGTCCCATGTATAAAGCAGAGGAAGATGGGCATGGATGTTAGCTCAGGGCCAGTCTTCCTCAGCAAAAAGAGGAGGATTGGTGGTAGTTAGCTCAGGGATAATCTTCCTCAAAAAAAAAAAAAGAAAGAAAGAAAGAAAAGAAATGAGAAATGCATTCTAGACTGATTTCTGACTGTGGCATAGCCGAGTTATCACAGCAAAACTTTGTGTTGTCTATAGATCAAAGCAGCTATTTCATCAAAGAAGTTGAACTACTGATAGAAATATACCATGAGAAAACTCACATTTTTCAACAAAAAAATCAATAATATTGTTATAATTAATAATGATCAATAGGCATCATTTAAATTATTTAATATAAATGAGGCATTTTCATATATATACATACAATGTCATTTAGCCTCACAACAGCTCCAGTGGATGCAGCTCAAAAAGCTACAGAATGCTCTGGCGTGCCCCCAGCAAAAAGGGGGAGAACCAAGATTGAGCTCTCAGGACTCCCAAGACCAGCTTCTTTCCACATGGCCAGGCCATGATAAGGATAAGATGGGTCCATTCATTTTACTATTTCAGGAAAGAAGTTCACTCATTTACTCTACAAACCCATTGCTACAGGCATAGGAGATGACAGAAAAGAAGACAAAATTTTCACAGAAGACAAAGCCATTAAATTCCAAAACTGTCTCAAAAATACTTATTTTTAAGAAACAGCTCTCAGTATTTCCCATAGTTTTATTTCTCCTCCAAATTTCTCAATTTTCTGAGGCTAAATAGCAGGTTAATTCTGTTTGGGCTGTTCAATGACTAGCTGCAAATAGAGGTTTTTATTCAGTATCTTGGAAAAATTTTACATTAATAGACATCTATTCCCACAGAAAAGAAAAGCAATGCTTCTAACCCTCATGAGCAGAGAAGTAAGGTAGGCTAAGGGACGCCAAGTTGAGGTTTGGTACTACTGGCCTGATGTTAAACATGATGTAGGTGGAAAGAAGACTTCTTCTGGGGCTTTAAATTAAGAACAAGAATTATTTTCAGAATAGGCAGTTGCCAGGGCAAATTTACCAAATGGCTTATTACCTTGTTTTTCAACATTTTGGACTTTCAACATTGAGAACTCTGATAGGAAAGTCCACTGTGGGGAGGGAGAGATGGTGAATTTTGCAGAAATACGTTTATATTTCCACGTTAAAAATATACACACTTTACTATTTTTTAAAAATTGGGTTGTCTTTTTATTGTTGAATTGTAAGAGTTCTTTATATATTCTGGATACCAGACCCTAACCAGACACTGGATTTGCAAATATTTTCTCCCATTCTATATGTTGTCTTTTTACTTTTTTTATAGTGCTCTTTGGAGCACAAACTTTCAATTCTGATGAAGTCCAATTTCTCTATTTTTTCTTTTGTTACTGTTCTTTTGATGTCATATCTAAGAAACCACTGTCTGGACCAAGGTCATAAAGATTTACACTTAAGAGTTTTACACCTAAGATTTAGAGATTTCCTCTAAGAGTTTTATCTCTTACATTTAGATGTTTGATCCACTTGAAGTTAATTTTTGTATATGGTTTGAGTGGGTGTCCAACTTCATTCTTTTGCATGTGGATATCCAGTTCTCCCAGTACCATTTATTGAAAAGACTATTCTTTCCCCCATTGAATTGTCCTGGCACTACCCTTGTTTTTTGCTTTTTTTAGGAAGATTAGCCCTGAGCTAACATCTTGCACCAATCCTCCTCTTTTTACTGAGGAAGACTGGCCCTGAGCTACCATCCATGTCCATCTTCCTCTACTGTATATGTGGGACACCTGCCAAACATGACATGATGAGCAGTGCATAAGTCTGTGCCCGGGACCCAAACCAGTGAACCCAGGCCACCAAAGCAGAGTGTATGAACTCAACCGCTATCCCACCGGGCCGGCCCCCATCCTGGAGCCCTTTTGAAAGTCAACTGACTGTAACTGTATGAGCTTATTTCTGGACTTTCAATTCTATTCCATTGATCTGTATGTCTGTACCATACTGTTTTGATTACTATGGTTTTGTAGTAAGTTTTGAAATTGCGAAGTATAAGTTCTCCAACTTTGTTCTTCTTTTTCAGGATTGCCATGACTATTCTGGGTCCTTTGAGTATGCATATGAATTCTAAGATCAGCTTGTTAATTTCTCCAAAAAAGGGAGCTAGGATTTTGATAGGGATGATATTGAATCTATAGATCAATTTGGGGAGTAATGGCATCTTAACAATATTGTCTTCTAATCCATGAACATGGGATGTCTTTTCATTTAAGTTCTTTTTTAATTTCTTTCAATGATGTTCTGAACTTTTCAGTGTATAAGTCTTACACTTCTTTTATTATATTTACTCCTATTTTATTCATTTTTTTAATTGAGTTCATAGTAGTTTACATCATTGTGAAATTTCAATTGTACATTATTTCTTGTCTGTCACCACATAAGTGCTCCCCATCACCCCCTGTGCCCACTCCCCCCACCTGCCTTCCCCTGGTAACCACTGAACTGTTTTCTTTGTCCATGTGCTTGTTTATATTACACATATGAGTGAAATCATATGGTGTTTGTCTTTCTCAGTTTGGCTTATTTCACTAGCATAATTCCCTCCAGGTCCATCCATGTTGTTGCAAATGGGATAATTTCTCTTTTTAAAGGCTGAGTAGTATTCCATTGTATACATATACCACATCTTTATCCAATCATTGGTTGATGGGCACTTGATTTCTTCCATTCTTGGCTATGGTGAATAGTGCTGCAATGAACA